AAAAAAAGTATCAAAAAATTTCATCTTTTAAATAAAATAGATCAAAAACAATTTTATCTTCAAATTTTAATTTTGTATCCCAAAACCTAAAATAATTTCATCAGCATTGTAATGTAGTGTTGTTAGATCTCTGGCTAACAGACTACAATAATTGACTAGGTATTCAAGTGGTTAAGAAATGTGTTTTATATAATTTTTTGTTAGAAAATAATTTATAAGAAGATAAAATATTGTCAACTTATTGCCAATGCGACTTTAACAAAAAAAGTTTATAACCAACAATTTATAGACTCAAGATAGAATTTATTAATTCAAAGAATATTCAAATAAATAACTCAAATAAAACAAATGGAATAACTCAAGAAAAATACAATAATTTCAAGAAAATATTATAATTATAACAGAAAAACAAATAAAGATTATAACAGTATTTAAAGAAGAGAATAGAAATAACTCAAGACTCAAGACAGATTTTATAAGCAATATATCAAAGGTAGAGTGTTATAATGACCAAAATATGGGACCAACTGTCCCTTTGCCTTAGAAAAAGTGTAGGGGTTTAAATATCTTTTGCTAGTACTATAATTCTATAAGATAATGTTATACAATAATATTAATAATATTACAAATTAATGTAATAATGAAATAAATCATTGTAATAATAAAATAAATTATTGTAATTATAGTCTGTACTATTATTTAAGTTGTTATTCTTCAATAATAATGCTAAAAATAACTATAATAAAGTTATTCTTCAATAAGATACCATTCTACAATAGCAATGTTACATATTACTATGATAATCATTATGTATAACATTATATAATAAATAATTAATAAATAATAAACAATGATATTTAAAATTTGTAATACATCTAAATGATTATCAATTTATCGATCTAGAATATCCTAGGCACTATTTGTGCTAGTATACCCTTGTGTAGCCTTGGTCTGGGCTCTGTTTGCATTAAACAAACTTATAATTTAAATAATTAAATAACTATTGCTTCAAATAGAATTCTGTGAAAACTATCCTAATAAAATTAATAATTAACTATCATTTGAACGACTAAAATAAATAAAATATGTTATAAACTATATAAATAAACTAATAAATATATAAAATATATAATAATATAAAATATATAACAAAATTTTAAGAAAACTATAACTATGCATAGAAAAATTCTGTGCCAGGTTTTGTTGATCATTTGCATCAGGTTACACAAAATCATATTTAAGTATACATATGTAACAGTTCTATGCATATCAACAAACATCAATTTATATACAGTAATAAAATATATACATACGTATGTACTACTAAATTAAGTATTTAATTTTATTACCACAGCAAAATTTCATTACCGCAGCAATACAAAGGAAGTTTAATGTTTTCTACATCGTTGCTAGTATAATATCACTGAGATCTTTAATAGAGTTAAAAATTTTTTAGTAAATATGTATAATAGCAATTAAAAGTTTAATATATAACATTTAATGATAATAACTTACCTCCTGATTACTTAAATATGATGTAATACAGTAATATGATATAAAAATAAAAGTTAATATCAAAAACATTGATTTTCTTATTTTTGTTTGTTTTTTATACAAAAAAGATTTTTTTTTTTTTAACAAAAAAATTTGACTTACGCGACAGTTATTATTGACTATCTTATGTGTACAAAAGTAGTTATGGGAGTAAGTACACGTGAGGTTATGCAACTCAAGAAAAATTGAGGTTTCATAGAACTTTTTTTTAACAAAAATTGTTTTGCCGGCAGTTATTATCAGCGTGTCTTGCGTGTCAAAGTTATTACAGGAGTAAGTTATACAGTTAAAGGAAATTTGATTTTTTTTTTTTTTACCGAAGATTTTCTTCAACAAAAGATTGTCCTGACGGCAGTTATTATCACGTGTTGGCGTGTATGAGCGTAGTTACGGTGTAATTGCGATTGAATAAAATATTAAAGCAAATACAATTAAGAGAACAAAGTATATGTTTTCTGAGTTAATTTTTAGTAATTGGTTAATTAATGTCGTGATACTCACCATGATATGTTAAAATAGAATCCTGTTTTACTGTATTCTACAGTTATAATCTTAGATATTATAGAACTATCATTTAATGTCACGGATTATCGTGAAATTGGATTATCGTGAAATTTGGATCTATTTTATGTACGATTTTTAAAAAATTTTTAGGGCCTTTTTTGTAGGCTTTTTTTTTATAGTTAAGTTAGGATTTAGGGTTAGAATTATTAATAAAAGAGTATAGGTGGATTTTGGTAGGGCTTATATTTTCAAATCGAGACCCCAAAATTTCACGATAATCTGATTTCACGATAATCCGTAACATTTAATACTGATCGTACTTTAGAGCCATTAGAACCGCTATCTAAAAATGTTGCAGCTTTAATTTCTTCAAATTATAATTATAAAATCTCAGAAATTCAACAACTTCCTGATTATATTACTGCAGAAGGATTTTTGATTTATCAATTTGAAGCTGATCTCTTCGTGAATGTCAATAGTATTGAAGGTACACAGAAGTGGTTTAATGAATTTGAAGAGATATCCAAGATGACAATGCCTGAAACAAAAAGCTTTCAAGTTCAAGGGCAAAAAGTTATTCTTCGTAAATTACGCCACTGCATACACAGTGATAAAGTAAAGCAAAAACAAGGAAATTCCTCATTAAAAAAGCCAAATTCATCACAAGTCAGAAATATAGAATGTAATGCTACAATTCATCTTCGTCTCGAATGTTGGAATCTTCAAACCACCCATCCACTCGAAGTCAATATCAAATTTGTCCATAATCATGTCATTAATTCCGCAAAATCTCTCAGTTTCAGGTGCGTTAAAGATGATGTTCATAATAAATATCTTGAACTTTTTACTAATGGGCATTCATCAGCAACGGCTTTGCGTACTTATAAGGATATTCTTTATTTACAAGCAAATAATGAGGAGAAGCTAACAAAATTATTAGTTGATCGTGAACAAAACCCTGATTATGGATATATTTTACATTTATTTGAACAATATTGTAATAAGTATCTTAGAGGTCAAAATGGTGTATTAATGTTTCAACGTCTCAGAGACGAGGTTAATAATTATAACAACTCAGGACAGAGATATGCTGCACTTCAAGAGTATGATTCACAAATAGGAAAGGCTTATATACTTTGTATAGTAACCAATTTAATGTGCCGTGTCTATGAAAAAATTTGCCAGGCAAGTGAGATTTGTTATGTTGATGCCTCAGCATCTTTTGAATCTTTAAACACATCGATCACTTTATTATATACAAGTTGTATGGCAGGAGCATTACCCCTTGGTATCATTATAACATCGAATAAATTGGAAATAACTCTTAAAAGAGGAATGGATCTCTTAAAAGAACTTCTTCTGCCATATGCTTTCTTCGGACGTGGGCCAAATAATGGTCCTCTAATTTTTCTTACTGATGATTCATGTGCAGAGAGGAATGCATTAGAAAGTTGCTGGTCACAATTAAAAAAATTATTGTGTATATTCCATGTTCTTCAAGCGTTTTGGTGTTGGTTACATAATGCCAAACATAATATAAAAAAAAACATAAAGCATCAATAATGAACGTTATGAAACAAATACTATATTCACCAACATAAGTTGAAATGAAAAATTTTTATCATAAATTAAAAGTCGATTATTATAATTTATATCCACAATTACAGAGGCATGTTGAATTGCTTTAGAGCTGACGGCAACTTTGGGCATTATCATTTCGTTATAGGCTTCCTTTACATGGAAATAACACTAACAATTACATAGAATATAGCTTTAAGTTATTAAAAGATATTGCATTTTCACATACTCAAGCATATAATTGTGTACAAGTATTCTAATTTATTACTACCATTATGGAACGCTTTTACGAACGCCGAATACTTGGAATTGCCCATTGTTACCCTGGTCATCTAAAGATCGCCAAGAGATTTTTATGCCCGGATGGGACTCTATTAATGCGTCAGAAATTCACCAAACTAAGACACCTACTGAGTATCTAGTTTCAAGCCAGAAAAAGAACAATAACCTATTTTATATTGTCAATACTGAACTTAATACATGTACATGCGTCGTTGGTTTATCTGGGGCACCGTATAAGCATCAAGGAGGGGTAGCCGCAAAATATCGTATTGGGTCATTAAATTTCTTTCAGTCATTAACAACTTATGACCATGTTTGCTTCACATATATTGCGCGTGGTAAGTGTTAATAATTTTAAATTAATTATTAAAATATTTAATAACCTTATTTATTATTTTTAAGGCCTTACTGTAATTGATTCCTTTTACACATCGTTGCATACCCGCACAAGTAACTAATATGAACACTGTGAAAATAGTAATGCTCTGCATAGCATACCTCAAGAAATTTAAGAATCACAAGAACTTGAGGTTGATAATGAAATTCAAGAACTTGAGGTTGATGACGAGATTCAAAAATCACAAGAACTTGAGGTTGATGATGAGATTCAAAAATCACAAGAACTTGAGGTCGATGACGAGATTCAAAAATCACAAGAACTTGACGTTGATGAAGTTATTGCAACAGAGTATGTATATCACATTTTTTATTATGTTTATAAGTTCCTAAAATTGGTTTTTTTTTTTTTAGACATTCAGCTTTTTTCAATTCTTTCCTTGAGACAATCAAGCGTAATTACGAAAACTGTGGACCGCTGCTTCAGGATAGGC